ACTTGTGAAAGAGGGGGCTTCCTCGTTTGGGCTCCATATGTGTATGTAAGACCTTAAAAATGGGGTTAATGGTGTATAAAAGTTGAAATGGTGAGATTTGGCCTTTGGTGCACTATTTGAGAAAAAATGAGAAATGCCCTAATTTGAATTATAAAGGTTATTTGCATAAATAATGAAAATGATGCGGAAACATTAAATTGGTTTGGAAATCATGAAATTAGAGGAAATTATGATTAAACGGTGTAGTTGGATTGATGAATCGCCCACCTATGAAAAATGTGATAAATTATTTGTTAAGACATTTATTTATCTGTTTAGATATATATATTTGGGCTATCGGTGGAGGATAGCCATGATTGTTGTAGGCACTGCATGTCGATTGGGTAAATTGAAACTAATCGATTTGAATATGTCATTGAGTATGACGGTTGGAAATAAACATTGTATATGTGATTGAGCCTCCGTTTGGCAAGTTGGGTTAGGGGCTTTTTTGGCTATTTTAGACACAAAAGACAAAATAGGCTATTTTAGCCACAAAAAATAAAACATCACATCCAACCCATAATCATTACACTCTTCTCTCACAAAAAAAGCCAAAAAAGCCAAAAAGTCCTTCCCAAACCAAGCTTTTTAACCTAGGCTAAAATAACCAAAAAAGTTAAAAGCCAAAAAATCAACCCACTTCCCAAACCAACCCTGAAATGGTTATTGTATATGACAACGTGTTTAAATACATTGTATATGTATAATTGTTTGTGAGAAGATATGGGATGTACTCTATTGTTTGGGAGGAGATAGGGGATAGACTTCATGGATAATTAAGTTGACCAGAGTATCCAGGGTAAAAGTCCCGAAATCTTATTTATATTTGGGTGCCGATTCCCTCGGACGTAGTTCCGTAAAATAGCAAGTTATGGAAGTGTATGAAAGATGTTTATGATTGAAGTGTTGACGAATGAGTTGCAGTCTCATTTCGAATTGTTTATATGATAATGAATTATTTCAATGAATTGACTTGGGTAATAACCGGAAGTGAATCCAAATATGGGTATTAATGTTGATTGACTATGGAAAAAGCTTAAGATAGTTCATAAGTGTTAAACATTTATCGAATGCTAATGTTTTAGTTAATTCTCATATGTTGTTTAGCATATCTCTACTAGGCATTGACTCACCCTATATGGGACATCACTTTCAGGTACAGGTAGCATGCCACCTCCAAGGACATAGTTTGGGAGGCTTGGGACTGTTGGACCGTTTTGTGTTTTGGTTGTATTACATGTAGATCAAACCAAGGGCTTTCTTTGTATAGAGCTCGTGCTTTTTTTTTTTTGTAACCAAGTGTTGACTTGGAAAGTTGTAAGCCTTTAGGGCATTTACTTTTGTTGTCAACATGTAATACATTTTGTAGGGATTACTCTGATGGAATACAATTATGCTTTATCTTCTTATGTCTAAGCATGCTATTGTTGGTTGATTTATGGGTTTATTTTGAGGGCGACGTTACACAGCAAGTTTATGAAGAATTTTTTTTTTTTTTTTAACTAATCACGATTTAAACTTCCATTTTCTATATTCTTACGAGGAGAGAAAAAAATAGAAGTTAGGGAGAAGGGGAAAGGGAAGCATTGAATTATTTGATTTATTAACAGGATTTTCAAGCGCCAATGAATATGGACTACACAACATCAAAGCACTCATATAATAAATTGAACAATGGTCAAGATTCAACAACCTCAAATTCCTTTTAGAAAGCAAACCGAGAGTCAATTCAAATTCTGAACTAATACGTAAATTCAAAGCATAAGAACCAAAACATTAAAAGCAAATAAAAATTAAAAGAAAGAATTGACAAGAAAGAAAGCTTTACCTTTTAGAAAAGAAGATTCTTTGCAATTCTAGTCGCGGTTTTAATATGACGATCGACTCCTGAAAATCAGAAAAAGAAAATAAACATTAAGCTACAAGAAATTCCGCCCAAAAAAAAATGGAAAATAAAAAGGAACATTAAAAAAATCTAGGAAAAAGATTCATATAAAAAGCAGGAGCAATTCTTTTACCCAAAAATGAACAAGACCACACGATAATTGTATAATCGATTCCACAAGCAACAAAAAATAAAAGAGAAAAAAGAAAAGGCTGATGAAACAAAGATCCATAGAAAAGCAAGGGGAAGATCCTGCTTTGTGCCTTAGTTCTTCTCTTCTATGAAAAGAAACATCAAGCAGTGATTGACATATATGCTCTCACTAATTTTGGGTATAGAATATTTTTTTAGGCAGAGAGATGCAAACTGTGGGTGAGAAGTGTGGTTAGAGGTAGTCCGGGAAGATGGCGGGCACTTCAATGGCTTGGGATCACCGGAGGTGGAGAGGAGGAGATCAAGGCAAGCTTCGAGAGGGAGAGGTTGGCAGTGATAGACCTTGAATACTAATGTAAAACAAGAGAGGGTGTTTTAGCATGAGACTTGACTGTATTGTTGTTGTTGTGTCTCGCTGCATATACGATGCATTATATAGGCCACAGGAGTATTGGAGCCCAAGCAAACTGTTGGACAGGTGGCTCGTTCTCCTCAACTCTGCCAGAAGTGATATAAGCCCTTCTGCCGCCTGTGGCTCGACGACAGGCGGAGAGCAACGTTTCATGGCAGGCGGAAAGTAACGTTTCATATATGCATCGGATGACATGAACATAAGGTCATTGTTGCCTCTTCTCTAAGCCTGGTCGAGATGGAGTTGTCTTAGCAAGAAGACAACCATCTCGACGATCCCATGACCTCAGCCGCCAGTCCAGTATCCTCTGATGATCCCGAGCAGTAGTGCCTGGGTCCTGCTACTGGGCGCTTGTCGTCCTCCCAAGAAGCCGGCTCAACGAGTGGTACTGCGTACCCCCGTGCATTATGCCCAAGGACCAACCCAGGAGATGCGATAGGGATCTACCCTGC